TAGCCTTCATTTTCCTCTGAGATTGCGGCCCGACAGGACCAACAGAATTGTATACTAAAAGTGAGCCTTTAGGGAATTTGAATTCCAATTCTGTCATTATTCTATAGAGCCATTACAATGTGCAATCGACATTTACACCGTCATAATAAGTTAAAGCCAAAATACGTTGTCTATTGCCACATAAAATGCTTTAGGACTGAGTTCATATATAAATTTGAAGACATTGACATTTTTTTTTGAAAATATTTGCTGGTTAATGTATAACAGTGAATAGTTTAATTATTGACCCTATTAGGTGTGGCATAGCTTTTATTATAATAGGGTATGTCAATGTAAAAAATGATCTCTCTCTTTGTTTCATGCTCTGTTCGGTGCAATGTAAAGAGACCTGAGTACAGAGTGTTAGAAAATTCCCGAGTTGGTTCTCCTCAAGCTCTTGGGCTCCTGGAGTGTGTGTAGGATACAGGAAGGACCTTTGTAAGGCCTCCTAAAAAGTCAGAGGGCCTCAATTGTGTTCCACGAACATATGGCCTATGTTTGTGCATGTGTCTGCGAGGTTTATTGATTTCAATCCAAGATTAGACATTTTGACAACATCGGAAATTCTTCAACATCAGTATTTGAGCCAAGGAGGGTGTAGCATCTGTGTTTTTCAGTCTGTGTTTGTAGTTGTACATGGAAATGTGCTCTGTGCAGGCATCCTTCAGTAGAGGTGATCTAACTTCACCCTGGAAGTAAATCTACGTCACAAGGGGGAAGTCTGGGGTTTAGGTACATTAGAGCCATTATTATTGTCATTATTCTGTCTATGCTAGAAGTGCCACTCTCCATTCCCCATTTTCCTAGTTTATGTTTTTCATTATGACCTTGATGAACATTTCTGGAGTTCAGAAATATGAAAAAGCTAATAAGGTTGACGGTGGCTCTCTTTGCTCCTCACCTTTATCTGGTTTCCTCTTGGCTCAAGACTCCTAACCCTCCTTTTATCTCAAGTGATGATTTACAAACACCAGTTTGTGTCTACAGACCAGGGTTCGGTTGTTGTCTGCCAGTCTGACTGGCCAGCTGGTACAAATTAAGACCATGTGTGTAACTGTGTGTGAGCATGTGTGTGTGTTTTGCTGTAGTGTTGCTATTACTGTTTAATAAGGAAGGCGAGAAGTTGTTTTGTTTCAATAGATGGAACATTCGACTTAAATAGCTGGAAGAGTGTTAGGTCCTTGTTATGAATCAGAACAAGGGAGACATGTGTTTAGAATGAGCCGTGGTAGGAGATACCCAGCGCTCCAGATGGTTTGTTACACAGAACCATCTGAGGGGCGGTCATTGGAAACTGTTTGGAAATGGACAGGCACTTTCAAAAAATGCTTGGCATGTGATTGGATGAACCACTTGTCAATCAAACTCCTACCAAAGCGTCGTTTGACAAACAAAAAGATTGAGAAAAGCCTTCAGTCCAAGTTCCTTGCTCTTCTTTAAACAAATAAATACTCTCCAGTCCTTTTTTATTTGGCCTGATACTATTGCAACTAATCAATAAGAACCACCATTGTTCTTCCCTAACTTTTCAAAGTGAGAGACTTCTTTTGTCTTCTTTTGTTTTGTCTTATGTTAAGTTTAAGTTGTAATCAAGCAATCCCTTTGGAGGTTTGGAGGACAGTTGGTTTATTATGTAAGCATAATATTGAAGGAGCGCCAAATAAAAGGTCTTTATTTAATTTGCTTACTTTGCTTTTCCTTTACCTGTATAATCCATAGGAGCTCAGAATCTGATTGGGTGTCAATTTATTACTTTTTGGTTTTAGGGTTTAACTTTGGGTGTTCTGTAGGACCTCGGCCGTGCTTATCTGTTTGTGGTGTCAAGAACGTGTTTCAAAGCTTTTGGAATCCTATTGAAACACAAAGATAATATCCATTGCCATGAATATGATGGTGTTATATCACAGTGCTTTTGTTATTGCCTTAATTTTCTCCGTATAGTGATAATTGTAGCCGTTTTTCATTAACACATTACAGTTATCAGGTTCTGTTTATTTCATCTGCGACCCTATCAGTGCTTTACATACTTCTGGGCTTCATACCTCTTTCCTCAGCACTGTGCTTTTTACCATCCTTGGGACTTACCATTGAGAACATATTTATTACAGTTCTTATCATACCTGATCACAGTAGAAATAAAGGATATTTACAGTCGGAATTCTGTTTTCAACCAAGGGAGAGCTGGCTCTTTTCTAGTTTACAGAACTGACTGAATGTGTAGCAGGATTTTACACTGCTTGTCACATTAAACATTTAGATGAAACTTACTTTGCTAATATTTTACATATTTAATATTAAATGTGTAATGATGTTCTGTAATTTAAAGGTATTTAATCCTAAATAAGCTTTTTATTGTTTCAGGTTTAGTGAAATGCTGTGCAAAGGTTTCTAATTTGTAGCTCCTCTGGCAAAGAAGAGTTTGGTTCATTTAACCATAGTCCATAAGCTAATTTACAGTGACATCTTTATTCTAATATCTAACAACAATTTTTTTTTTGTTTGAACACACAATAAAAATGACCTGATCTAGCATGCTGGTTTTTTCTTGAAAAAAGTTGGATTAGAAGACACTGACGCATTTAGGAGGATAAGCTTTGCTGAAGTCCTTTTAAGATTTTGAAAATAAAATGTAAAATCTCATCTCCAAGGCCTCGGGCCTTTGGAGGTTGCATGTTCTTCCCGTCCTTGCTTTGGTTTTAACATGGTATTCTAATTTCCTCCTTAAGCCCTAGGCTTGTGGGTTAGCTTAATTGGCAAAACCCTTAGGTGTAAAAGTGAGTGACAATAATGGTCTGACTCTTTGTGTCAGCCCTGTGATAAACTGGCAACATGTCCAGAGTGTACTCAGGCTTTCACCCAATGTGTGCTGCCCTATTCCATGTTGAACCTGAAAATGATATAGGTATTGATGAATTTTTATGTAGTAAATGGATAAAATCTGAATGTGTGGAACCAAAGTAACCTTGCTTGGTTAAGTGCTGGATGGGTGTTAACGGGAATCACCATCACCACCCTCAGCCCCTCTTTTTAATGACTTAATCAAATCAATGACAAATCTATTTAGAGTGCTTTGACTTTCGCCATTGCATAGGGAATAGGTTGGAGGAAGTGTAGTGAGCCATTGGAGACTTGTGAATTGCCTCCTACTAGTGTGATACTTTACAGGGGTGTTTGCTTGAGTGCAGGGGCTTTGGAAAGCCACGCAGTGTTTGTCTGTCTTGAACAGGGGGTTGTTAGAAAAACACACCAGAAGATGATGGGGAAAGGATGAGGGGAGGATGGGTGTTGGAAGCTATAGTGCCACCTGTGTGTACATGAATAAGTCATCAGTTTGCACATGGAAAGGGTTTTGTCACCTTCTGCCATAAAAAAGGTAGCCATGGAAACCAGCTCTTTTTGACACCAAATCATCAGCATTTTAAGGCCCCTTTTAATCATATTGGTTAGTCTGTGCTGACTCAAGTCAGAGTTAGGCTAGAAAACAATGTTGACTCTGGTATGCTTAATACAGTAAAAATAAACCTTAAAGTGAGTTACTGTGTACTGCTTCATACACATTTAGCAAATAACTTTGTTTTTCTGGTGAATACAAAATGGAAACACTGCTGCCCTCAAGTTAGGATAAAATCCCATGGCAACTGATCTCAGATGTTTGTCACCTGCATTTTTCATTTCTGCTACTTCAGCTTTGAGCAGAAAGGTCACGTAAACAGATCCAGGGGACAGATATAGACATATAGCTGGTCTGGCCAGTTTTCCACTGTGGCAGGATTTTACAGTAGCCTCTCTAGCAAAACTCTCATGTTACCGGTGTCTTATTTCACTAGCTCAGGGCAGCGGGCGAAACTCACCGTCCTTGGGTATGTGCCCTCTCTCCCCTTTCTCTGTGTTATATATTGCTTAACTGTTTTTTTTTAACCAGTGTCCATTTATATTTTTCCGTTTTTCTTGACATTCTCCCCCTATCTTTCTGAAAATCATACAAATGTAATGAGGTGAGGTCACAAATCATATAAGGGGATCACTTTTGTCTACTGTACTGTATGTCAACAAAGCCACAGTAATGAGGTTACTTTTCCATCATACAGTATAATTTATAATGACTGGACACACAGACTGCTTTTTAAGGTTGCAGTGTTGAGTAAATGTTGCCGATCCTAATTTCTACAATGTAAATATCGGGACAAAATCAAACGGATTTGTCAAAATCTAAAGATTTTACCTTCTGAGTAAATGCAGTACTGCTGAGCGATCCAGGTGACAAATTAAGGTGCTGAGTTGAATCATTCAAACTCTCTGAGGGCTTCTAGTGGGCAGGTGTGGCATTACAGGGTTTTAAAAGCCAGTATTAGGTGAGTACACAAAAACAAGAGACACTAGTACGAGTGAGAATCAAAGTCAAGAAGTAGGGGGGGATACGGGCTGCTCGGCACATGATGGGTTGCCGGGTTTGTTGACAAGACACAAACAAACAGTACTGCACAGAATGCATGTCAGCTGTATGTCAGGCCATACAGCTGACGAACAGCTGACAGCTGTAGGAAAACAGGGGTCACACATTTAAGGCCAAGACTATTATCACACTTGTATATAGGTAAATGAAAAAAACCTCTTGGTTATATATATAGCCAGTGCTCTTTATTTGTTTTTATTTTAGCATGTTATCTTCTGAGCCTGCTACTTTAAATATTGTTCTTAAATGTTGAGGTGTGGTACTGTATATTATGGTTATAAACACAGTAGGCAGTTTAACGATGATAACTGTCAACAGCTTTTTATAGAAATGTTGTAAGTTGAAAAAAATATTCTAAATGTCCTTTTTTTCCACATTTAAATCTGCTTCTTAATGGTTATTGATTTAAACAAATGTGGACCTACAAGTGCGAAACAAAACATGTTTGAGTAAGATATAAGGCATACAAAATGACTTAATTCCCTTTTCCATTCTTATGTGTCCCTAGACATGTCAGTCCAAGGTGTTTGACCTATCAGACGGAGTGTCCCAGTATGCGTGGTTCCCCTGTCGCGAGGCTCATAATACTCAATATGGATATCAGAACTATTTGCTCAAGGTAAGGTCTAACTGAATAGAATGATGCATTTTTGTGCAGTGAATATTGAACATACATAGACTGGTAATAATGGATTTAAATATCACTCGACAATAAATGTCCACAATGTGTTCTACAGAAAAAAAAAGATTTATTATTGGTTTCCATGATTAATGATGTTCCACATTTCTGGTCAAGATGATTAATTCAATAGAAAGCCATATATTACTGGAAATTCATAGTTATTTATACTAAAAGGTATGTCAATCTACAATATTGATCACAACATTGTTCTAATATACACTGAAAAAACAAAAACTTTGGATTTGATTAAATGTATTATGATATATCTGTGCATTAATATGTATATGTATAATATATAAAGCAATAATATTAAGTTCAACGACTTTATTTGTATTGCTTTCAATTTACCTAATACATTTTTGTGAGATCTGTTAATCTCATAATACATTTAATAAATCAAACATTTCAGTTTTTTCAAGGTAAAAATGTAATTAAAATTATGTTGGGACACCATGATATGTATTATATCTCCATGGCATCATAGAATAGAATAATGTACTAATTTGACAGCATATATGATGCATGAAACATGAGTCAATAACAAAAAGAAAAGTATAAAACATCTAGGGGGATACAGAAAATGTGTGCTTAACTTTATACTTTGTTTTCTTTCATTCAGGCCCACTTCTCTCATCCCATGGTGGCAGCAGCAGTGATTATACATCTGGCTGCAGATGGCACTGGCTACCTTGATCAGACTCAGTGTAACATCACTGTTCAGCTGGTAGACACCAAGGATGGTATCCATAGTCTGGGTGAGAGCTGTCTTCTGTATTTTGAGTTTGCTACCAATTTGCTTCACCTTCAGCGTCAGATTGCTAATTTTGCTTAAATGAGCTTGACCTACTGTTACTTACTAAAAAGTTGTTACCAAATAAATTCAAGCTAAAATCTATTAGAAACAAACTCCCTTAAGCACATGTCACTCTCATTAGTCTTTCGAGCTAGGGTTAGGGTTCCCCTCGTTTAGCCTTTTCTTCTATCCTGCTTTACTTTTGAAGATTGCCACTGTAATTCCTTTTAAACTGTGATTGATCCCCTAATTTTCTCACCTCAATCTCAATACACTTTTCTCTCTGTCTCTTTTCAACCCCAAATATCTTCTCCACAGGTGATTGGCGTCTGAGCTGCCGCACCAACCCTTTGGTGATCCCGGTGAGCCATGACCTGTCAGTGGCCTTTTACCACACCAAGGCTATCCTGGTCATGTTTGCCTCTCGCCTTGTTGCCATCTCCGGAGTTGGCCTCCGCTCCTTCCAGTCCTTCGATCCCATCACGATAAGCGGTTGCCAGAGCAATGAGATCTACAACCCGACAGGCCAGAGGTGAGGCTGAGAAAAAGGGAGATAGAACACTAGTGAACATAAGGCCTACACATGTTACACACACATCACATCAAAAGACATGCCTATGAAATCATAGGATTATGTGCACACGTCGAGGGCAAGCAGCCACACCCGGACACATGCTTACACTACTTTCGCCTTCCAACGCCAATAAAGAAAACTCCCCCAAAAATAGAAGAGTAATAGAGAAGGGATAGCTCTTTAAGGATAGTCAGACATCTATTAGGTGCTGTATACACAGAGTGGACAGAAGTGGAAGTAGTAGAATTACAATATTGAGAACCAAATAAGTATCAGGTTTAATTAGTAAAATACTTCCAGTCTTTCAGGCAATCAACTTCCAGATGGTAAGACCTCGACCAACAAATGTCTTCTCTACTGCGAAGAGGAGGACATACTACATATGCTCACCCAACGAGATTTAAGGATTCCATTCACATAAAATGAAAAGAGGCAAGAGATGCTGAGAGCTGTGTGTTTTTGTGCCAGGGAGAGGGAGAGGCATGCTTTAATTGATTATACCAACAAGCTGTTTAATGTTAGAGGTCAGCCCAAAGCCACAACTATAACAGTGAAATGTTCTCGGTAACAAATATTATATCACTGGAAAATTGCAATTAATTTAGACCTGTTGCTGATCTCCGCAAATTTCCAACAATAGAGCTGCCATGTCGCTGCCTCCAGCGCTAAATCTTGTTTACCACCCCGGTTTGTTTGTATTGAGTTTGGCTGAAGTGCATTCTGCCTTGTTCAGCACTACAATGAGGTTGTCAGTCTCCATTTTTCCCTACTCTAAATAGTTAGATAAAAAAAGTACTTGTCAATCAGGCATCAAAAGTGCTTACCTAAAGGTAGACCAGGTTCTCTGTGTGTGATAAAACTATTCAAGACAGCTAGCATTTGAACAAGGGAATAAATAAGGATTATAGAATTTATATTAAGAGCCCTTAACAGTTATTGAAACCATTTGCAAGAGCTGTTGGCAAGACCATGACACATAATTAACACCTTTTCAGCGAAGAAAATGCACATGTTTTGAGTCTCCTTTAATTTAAACTACTGAAAATATGATGTAATTCATTCCTCACAAATGTAGTTAAACCAGACCACACACACAAGGAGTCACAATTTGCCAATTTCCACACCACTGTCATGCATGACACAATTCATATTGATGATGCTCCCAACCCTTTCAACAAGAAATGCACTAATAAACACCACAATACACAAAGAATGGATGGTAGGAGGTCTGTGCAGAGAGATAGAGCTGTTTGTTGCTTTTGTTGTTTGCCAGTGAGACATCCAAGAGCACCTAAATAGAATTAAAACTGCTGTGTATCTGCACCAGCCAGGAAATCATTGTTACCACACACACACAGATTACTCCGAGTACTCAGTATCTTTTTTCTTTTTCTTTAAAATGTTCTCCACTTCATCTAATTTCCAGAGACTTGTGAAAACAAGTGTTACTTCATGATTGCAAGTCAACAAGATATGCCCACTTATCTTCAAGAGTTTGGACTTGAACACGCCACAAGCTGAAAATGATTACTCAGTATTAGGATCAGGTATTATTTACCCAAATCGCCTTACAACATAAGTAAAGAATCCTGGATCGTCCTCTTTGTCTATTTCATTTTTCTGTTTCTTCTCCTTTATTGACTTAAATTTAACTTAAAAACATTCAGATTATACCTGTCTCCAATTCCTCCGTTATTCCCATTCCTTCTCCCGCTTTCCCGATCTCCCACCTTCTCCTCTTCCTAGCATGTTATCCCATGCTGTCTTCTCATTCTTTACTTTCATTTCATCTTTGGTTTCCTCTAAATGTTTGCCATCTCTTTCTCCTTCATTCTACCCTTTTTGTGCCTCCTGCTCTAGCTTTCACTCTCTCATTCTTCAGGGCTGAGCAGCACATTTCCCGTAATACTTATGCCTCTACAAAACACCACATCCCTTTTTCCCTGAGTTGTTAACAACAGGAGCTATTAACATGACTCAGTTTTATGTTCCATGCTTGTCTTTTTCACAATTTGTTCATCACGTATCACCTCTTACTACATGGAGAATGGTTGGAGTTCTGTTTTTGTACGTTTTTTTTCTTATTTTTGTCATAAATACCTTACTATTTTTGCTGTTTGCTGTACTTCTCATTCACAGGGGAGGAGGATAGTTTTACAGGTAGTTGATTGTAATTTACTGTATGCCAGAAATTCCGAAGTGACTAGCACGAAACCACAAAGAGATTTTGTTCCAAGCCAAAGTGGCCACAGAGGAGGCTTAGGCTTCCCTAGTTTGTCCTCAAAAAGCCTAAAAGTAAGGAACTGCTACTTTGTGGTATACAAACGGTCTTCACCTGTTGAACTAGCATGTTGTCAACATGAACATTTGAAATCTAATCTTAGAATTTCTCTGGGAGCTTTTTTTATGTTTATATTGCATTCCTTTAAGGCAAAGTTCAAAGCAACATAAGCAATAACCCAGCTGCATAAAATGTTTGTATACTTCATGGTTTTAGCCAAAAGCATAGTTAAGTGAAATATTGCACAAAAACAAATGGCGAAAAAAAGCCACAATAAATGGAGATTCCATTCTTGCAGAAGCACGTTTAACAATGTTTCTCCTGACCTGTATTTTCTTTCATCCTCTCTATGCCCCATACCTTTCCCTTTTTTCTTTCTCCCCTCTTTCTTCGTCAGCTTCATAAGGGAACCCTATACTGTAGAATTTGGACTGTTTAAAAAAGGTGCCTTGGGCATCCAAGCCTTCCAAGAGCATTAAATGCCTTCTCCATCAGGCTACCAACATAAAGCTGTGGCCAAACTCTGCCATTGTAGCCCACACATAATCTATCCTGTCGCTCTTAATTCACAAACTACACTTTGCCGTGTGTGTGCAAATACACCCCTTTCATGCGCATAGCATAATATGGCAATCTTTTCTCCATGTGGTTTATTGATTTGATATGTTAAACAGTCATTGATGGATGGATGTGGTTGACTCAATGCTTGTCTGTGTACAAGCAAATGTGTGACTGATTCCATGTTTGAGTGTCTGCAGTGTTATTATATACACAAAATGCATGTCGGTTGTAACTTTAAATGTGGTTTTTAGTTTATTTTTCTCTTTCTCTCGCTCTTCCTCTCTCACTTTCTCTCTCGCAGTTGTGTACATTATTCGTGTGAAGCCATTGACTGCCAGGAACCCTTAATCCGCAATGCAGAGCTCAAGTGCAGTAGCCCTGGCCGCCACTTCTACAATGGAGACCGCTGCACCATCTACTGCAACTCTGGATACGTCCTGCAAGTCCACCAGGACGATGACATCATCAAGAGCCAGGTAAACACCCTGCTACACACATGTTTGAACACACACAGCAGTCAGAGAGCTCCGTGCACATAGAGCCACATGAGTGCTTAAATGTACACATGCAAACGCTTAAGTGCAAAACCATTTCTACAGCATACGAGAACATGCCTGCAAACATGCATCTGTGAATGCACACATGAACATGCATTGATGCAAGTATACCTATGGCCATAGGAGAGAAGTGCAAACACGCTTTCTTTCGGCTCTCCTCTTAATCTCTGCATTTATTTTGTTCTTGCAAAAACTAAGCTCGGCACGGCAAGCCTCCAGGGAGGATGACATCATGAACATCCAGGTAGATGAGTGCTGCACCGAGGAGTGGAGACGCCCCAGTCTCCTCCTCTTGCTGGCTTGCTACACACACACACACACACACACACACACACACACACACACACACACACACACACACACACACACACACACACACACACACACACACACACACACACACACACACACACACACACACACACACACACACACACACCACCCATATTCCATACAAGCAAAGACATAATAGTGTTTAGTCTCTTGCTGAGCATGCTGCACCATCACCTCAAACAGTCACTTTTTACCGCTACTCCACCGGGACGATGACATCATCGCATAGTGTCTGCTCCCTCTCCCTCCCTCTCTCCATCCCTGCTCATTTTGCACACATTGAAGTCTCTGTTATAGGGCAGATATGTGCTACTGCTCTCTCACAGCAGCAAACATTAAATGCTTTCCTGTCGATACCAACACACATACAGAGACAATCTCCTGCACAAACAGGACACAGATGCGGACAGATACAATATACACACAGATGCATGCACACCACAAGTAAACAAACAAACAGGGTAGTTGACACCGCATCGTAAACCTTTTGGATAGAGGCCAAGCTGCTGTTAAGGCCATATAAACTCTTTATCCTTCTCCACGGCTCTGTAAAGAAGTCTGCAAGACATTCTATTAATGCTCCCTCAGAGAGATGGGAGGTTCAGAGAACAAGGAACATGTTGTTTTTATATGTATTTCAGTCTGGAACTGTGGAGATGTGTTTGAAAGTCAGAGAGAAGAGTTTTACAGAGCAAAAGAGAGGGGGGAGTTTTTTTGTTGGTATTTGGTCAGGATTCTTACCTTAACGATGTGTTCTTTCTCTCATCTTTCACCTGGCTGTGTCCAGGAACTGTAACATTTCCTAATTGGAAGGTTTCAAAAAACGCTGAAGTCGTTTATCTGTCGCTCTGTCTTCCACTGAAATGGCTCTTTTAAGGAACTTACACATTGCTGTATCTTCACAATGAAATAAGTGTGTGCGCATGTACATGCACGGAAGCACTTTCACATCCACATTCGTACATGCTGTACAGTATGTACACACACTTTAATAATAGTTCCCCACTGAGTGTGCACAAACTTCTAATTGCATTAGATTTTGATTGACATTGCACTATTGTGGCTATTCATCAACGTCATTTCATTTAGTTATAAATTATGCTTTTCAGAGAGGGAGAGGCAGGAAAGTACAGAGGGAGGTAGGAAGGGCAGGAGAGAATAGTAAACAAAGTAAAGCTGTGCCAAATATCAAATGTTGGTGTTTGCAAATTACCAAACGATGACTGACTGTTCAAAGGTATTGAGAGGACAAAGCATTTATGAATAACTTTTTGGATCCATTCATTAAATTAAAAGGCATCTTGTCAGTTTTCTTGGTATATTATCAAAGGCAGTTTTGTGATTCATTTAAAAAAAATAATGTTCTGCCAAAAATCCCTAAATCATCTCCCTTAGCTCTGGAATAATTTTAAGCTCAGCGATGTAATGTCAGTAAGGACAAGTAAATCACTGCTCTCGGTTGGCAAGCCACTGGCAAAAAAATATGATGCTACGAACTTGATGTGCAGACTGAATAATGTTTATAATTACCATAACAGAATCCACTCCTTTTTTAACCTGCCCTGTCCATCATAGCAGGAGTGCTTTGTATTACTAGCTTGTTGATCCATTTTATGTCCAGACTTTTATCCTGAAACAACATTTTGGGAAATTATTTTAACAGTTGCATGTCCCTCCAGGGGCAGAAACAGCCTCACTGAGCACCTTGTACCATACACTTAAGTTCTGTTCACTGCAAACCTTCATTTTGAATATCTACTTTAATTGTTTTCTGAGTAGAATGCAACATTTTGAAGCAGGTTTTATTGCCAGCAGTATAACCCTGTTGGGTAATACCGTATGAACTGTACAACTGCAGGACAGAATTGGGCAATTAGTACATTCAAGATTTGAAAGAAATAGTGGGCACTTCCATTTAAGATGATATAAAGAAAATGTGCTTCCTGTCGAAAAGTCATTATAATTAGTTAAAGGGCCAGTAGTCAATCGATCTGTCCAGATTCTCGGGGTACATCTCATATTATCTCTTGAGCACATGAGATGATAGTTGATAACCCCATGTAAAACAAAATGTAATACAGAAACAGTCATACCACAATTTTCTTCCCTTCTTTTTAAAACACACAAGTACTTACTGTAGACCCATGCATGCACGCACATATACACACATATGCACACCTATATACACACACACACACACACACACACACACACACACACACACACACACACACACACACACACACACACACACACACACACACACACACACACACACACACACACACACCAGGGTTGAAAAGTGCAGCGTGAAGCACAATCTTGTCTCCTTTCATTAGCCAATTACATTCTTGTTTCAGTGATGTCAAAGCGGTTCTGGGAATACCACCTTCTTAGATAATGTTATCTTCAGAACAAATCTGTTTCGCTCACTTGCTTGATTTGTATATGTTTGTTTCATTGCTGTCTGTTTCTCCTATCTTTCTCTCTCTTTAAAATTGGGAACACTGAGTGCTGGCACTGAAAAAGAGGGTTTTTTATTTCACATAGAATGTTCCTTTAACAGGCTCTATAGGCCTATGTGCTTTACAACTGTCACCATAGCACCATCAACCCCCATTACCTGCCAAATACATGATCGCCCATCCACTTTCTTTTAATGACCTAAACACCCTCTTTAGATATTATCAAAGCAGGGGTGAAAATGTTACACACATTTATAAAACAACTCCTGTTACATTTCAGCCAATACATTCAATATAAATGAAAGGGCTATACGGTAATGAGCATATTATTTTGATCCTATTAATTTCAGTTGGCAGTCAGCCAGCGCAGATAAAGACTTTTACTGTCCCTCCGTGTTTTATGGCCACCCAATTGCAGACGTCATGATGTTCTTATGCATGCTTTTTCTTCCTGTGTGCTCCAATTATCTCCCAGTCCAAAGGATTTAAGGAAGTGTAATATAAATACTCTAGAAATCAACCTTCATCAAGGCACTGGCCACAGAGATATACTGTAGTTAAACTTAAACTATTAGACCTTATCTCAGGCTTACATGCTTCCTAGCTAGGAAGTGAAGTAGTGAACCAATGAAATACCTATATAACTTTAAACATTGTATTATTAGTCTTGAGTATTTAAAGTTGAGGGAAAAAACTAGATTTCCAAGATTCAAGATTCAGAAACAGTAACATGTTTGTAATAGTGTCTCCCGATGTCAGTTGTTCATTTAGTTATATACTTAACATGTTTCAAAAATGGTGGCACATTATAGGAGCTAAAGACCCCTTAAACTCTGCTCCACTTTAAGGTCATCTTGCTACCTTTCCTTCCCCCAGTGCAGTGAGATCGTGGAATGGAAATCTTTGTGAGTAATCCTAAATTTTTATAGCAAAGCAAGAGCCCTTTAACATTGTCACCCTGTTGAGTTAGGATGTGACTGCTCTCTGATATAGCCAGGCCTCTCCTGATTGGAAGAGCATGTGGATACACATTTCAGTGTGGTGTAGTCAGAGCATTAGGGCAATCCTTTCACTCCATGTCTGCTCAAAGAAATTGTGGGTAACCTTCGGTTGTATCAACAATGTGAACATAGTTGGACTCTTTAAAAGTTTGGTTAATTGTACATTTTATTTACTCAATGAGTTAATCCACTCATAACATAAGCTTTATGATGGTGGTTTGAAACACAAGTTCAATCTGTATATGCTGACGTGGTTAACAAAATGAATCGTTTTAAATGAACACACCAAGAATTATATGTACCTAGAAGCATGTCTGCTTCTGAGTACTGTTCAATTCTTGGTATCACCGAACCGCACTTCACTGTTTTCAACACATTCTTTTCCACATTTCTTTCAGGCAACAGGCAAACAAAACCTCTGCTTCTAAGTAAAGCTACATTTTATTTTCTCCAGCACTGTTTCATAAGGGCTTTTCCATGAGGACTAAACAATACTAAATTATACTTAATCACCTAAGGAGCACTGATGTAATAAATCTACTTAACAATGTTCAACTCTGTGTTATTGCTATACTTTTTCTACATCCTAATGTGAATGCCATTCAAGCTGAAGCAATAAAGGAAGAGCCTGACAGTCTGTCGGTTCATTTGTCTGTTAATCTGCTTGAATTAGGCATCATAGCCAAAGGTTGTTAAATTGCTTCTGTAAGAGAAATAGTCAGCTGTAAATTATTTTACAGGAAGGAAAATTCCCACACATCTACACACACAGTACACACACATGAATACAATCATTTATACCATTCAAGCACTTGGGAATACATGCTTGATTAAATGTGAAAACAACTCATTGCAGATGTACGTAAATGTAAATGTGTTCCTGTGCGTGTGCATCCGTCTCTCTATTCCTTTAACCACACTTTTGCACACCCACGTTGGGCAAAACTTGTAACTGAACACACGCATACACCCATTTCACAAACGTACTTAACATTCCATTTGCACACATATTTACAGTCAGCACATTAACACTAAATGGATCCTTCCACATTTCTTCCATGCAGACTTTGTTCACAACCTCCCATCACGATTGACTCATTCAACTCTACACCCAGTCATTTTTCACCAGGCACTCACATGCGATGCATATTTTACTTTTGTTGGATATCCAAATATGAAAGGAGCATATTTACTTTAAGGGAACTTGATACTGTTATGCAGTATCATATAATGGAATCAAGATGAAAGATAGAAATACATGGAAAGAGAGAGAATAAAATTAAGCAATAGATATGTAAAATTAACTAAGTCCAGCTTGTGTGGTCTTAATGTTTGGACACTCTTTAAAACAATGTGGATAATTAAGGTCAACCATAACTGGGGTAGACTGTAATTCATGGTGAAAACACAAGTTTCCCTACTTTTTTTTCTAAGGGGGAAAAGTCAAAATGATTGAGCTCTTACAGCTTTGTTGTGAGGTTTCTTGGCCCAGATATCAATTTAAGCATTCCTCTTGAGTGCATGCTGTTATTCAATGGCAGAGGATGAAAACAGCTGAGGTTTGGATAATGCAGTGGCTTCCCATTTTGGTCTCATATCTCACTTACGTATAGGAAGTCTCTCTGGTCAAAAAAGGTCAGATATAACAGATTGTCATTTTGAAATGTTTTGGAAAAATTCTAGTTGCCATTTCTGTTTCCAGTGACAGTAAACCATCAAATCCCTAATCCTAAATGTTATGTTCTGTTCACAATCTTCTCATCATTGTTGATCAGGAATTGTTAATGCAAGAAGTGTGGCCCTAGCAAGCCTCAGTGACACATTGCTGTGTCACAGCTTTCAGCAGTAACATGGAGGGCCTTGTTTCAATTATTGTGAATGTAATGGATGTTCATTTTTTATACCAGGTTCTCACAGTGTCCATTTCTTGCAGATTTGTTATGTTCTCCCTACGTTTGGATTTCCTCAGTGTTCTACAGTTATCCCAAAAAGCATTGGAAAAGTTGTATTTTGATGTTAACAACAGCTTTTTTAATTGACTTCTGTCAATCACTAAGTCCTGCAGTTACCAAGACATTATTTATATTAGCTAACTTTAGAGAAAACTGCCTTAGCAGTATAGCAGTATTCTGTCTCCAATGATGTGCCTTATTTTTATTTTTTCCATGTTATGTGTTTGATTGCATGGCATTACTTAACAATAATTTGTGTTTGGTTTAAGAATCACATATACAAAATGTGAACCTTTCATTGAATATAACCACTTTCTTAGAATCACGATTACACAGATACTCATAAAGATGATACTTCTACAGAGGTTGTAACTCCAGCTGTGGAAGATCCCTTTTCTCCTCTCTGTTGTCAATCTGTTTTGTGTTAAGGCTGATTGTGCAGTTGTTGGATATCACATGTCTGAGTTGCATGAATTGACCTTACAAATGCTATCAGCAGTTATTGAGCTGCTGGATAGCCTGTGAGGCTTACTGAAATACTGTAAACCAAGCCTGATCAGGCGTTATTAGCTATACTGATTGGAAACTTGATGGAGTATGTGCTGAATTGCTATAGTCCTTTTTTGTCAGGTAAACATTTAAATAATATGTCTGGGACATCAATCTGTTAATGCGCAAAATAATATTTGTGTCAAAGCACTCTCATGCATATAACCGATTTTGCCTACACATCTGACACTCATTTGATCACGTCTTCTTTTCCAGTCGGACTCTACAGTGACTATTACATGTGCAAATGGGAAGTGGAACAAACAGGTCTCATGCGAGCCTGTGGACTGTGGTATGCCAGACAAATACCATGTCCATCCTGCCCATTTCAAGTTCCCTGAAGGCACCACCTATGGCAAGAAGATCACCTTTCAGTGTCGAGAACCTGCCCAGCTTGTAGGTGAGATGCAAAGTGGAGCAAGCCCATACAGAGAAAGGACATTTATGTTCAGGTTGATCCCTTTGGAGTCCATGATATTAGATTGAAAGGTTAACAGATGATTATTTTCGGATAACTGTTACATTTCAATGTTAATACCCTATCACCCTGATAAGTTCTATATTTTCATGAATAAATGGTCTTTGATGCACATTTATTTTTACATCTTTATGAACAATTTTGCCATGAGCTACATCAAAGATCTTTTAAGGCGAGACACCCCAGGTGAATAGGGTAATTTTTTTAACTTAAAGGTATCAGCTAGAAATTTCTCCAGTTAATTACTTACAATAAGGCAATTGTCTTTTGTATTACAAGTTTTCTGAAATAGCATGTTTAAATATGCAAATTAGCCATTATCTCATCAAATATGTGCATATTTTAACACATTTCAGGAATCGAAATCTGAACTTTGGATAAAGCCAGGTTAAAAATTAAGCTGATGGACAATTAAGAGACTGAAATGAAAGTAAATAAGATAATTAGAAAAAAACGTGTAACCCTGACATTCAGTTAAGAAAGTGTTAAGTTTGGTATTAAAAGATCTTTGATGTAGCTCATGGCAAAATTGTTCATAAAGATGTAAAAATAAATGTGCATCAAAGACCATTTNACTATAACATGTTTTATTTCAGGCTTTTGGAAGGAAAACGTACAAAATACACATTTAAGTGTTTATTTGACTATAGTTTGTCTATTTGCGTCAGTAGATAATCTACTGACGCAAATAGACAAACTATAGTCAAATAAACACTTAAATGTGTATTTTGTACGTTTTCCTTCCAAAAGCCTGAAATAAAACATGTTATAGTATCAAAATAGCACAAAATCTCAAAATTGACCAGTGCTTGAAAAACGATGTTTTTGCCTGCCGTGTCTCGCCTTAATACCAAACTTAACACTTTCTTAACTGAATGTCAGGGTTACACGTTTTTTTCTAATTATCTTATTTACTTTCATTTCAGTCTCTTAATTGTCCATCAGCTTAATTTTTTCTTTATCCTACTTTGATTCCAATTTATTAACCAATTCAATTTGTTTCTCCAATTTCCTCTATACCCCTTTCTCCTCAGGTACAAACAACACCCTTACCTGCCTGGAGGACGGCCTCTGGTCCTTCCCAGAGGCTCTTTGTGAGCTCCGCTGCCCAGCCCCCCCTCCTGTACCCAACGCTGTGCTGCAGACCAAGCGCTGCAATGAGACAGGCCTCAAAGTGGGATCGCTCTGCAAGTACAAGTGCAAGCCAGGCTACCATGTCACCAACAAACCTAAGAGGTAAAGAACATTAGATTTTTTGTTTTAAAGGTCACCAATTATCCAAAATCGAAATGTTCATGTCTTTTCATGTGTCCCCTCTGCGTTAAGAGATTCTTACAGTTTCAGGAAAAAAGATTTGCTCCATTTATATAAAAATCTGTCTAAAAATCAGCTGATCAGATTTTCGCCACTTTATGATGTCATAACGGGATTTTGGCTTGTGTTACCATTAGCCAATAACCAACCAAGGTAACACCCCCCCACCTTATCACCTGAATCTCCTCCTATAGAGCAGGGGTTCCCGAGTGGGGGTCACGAGATGATTACAAAATACAAATTATAAATAAAAATTATAAATTTAAAAAATGTAAAAAAATGTAATCAATTTTTTAAATTATAATTAATAATAACGTGTGCAAAGAAATTTTTCAGGGGTGGACTGGCCACCTGTATAATTCCCCCGCAGCGAGGCTCCCCCCGTTGATTAAAACACTCACGGAACACCTAACTTCACAAATATCCAAAAACAATAGGCCTGCTTACCACTCCAACAGTACATAACAGCATAGTAATGACAGCTTAACCTTCTCTATATTGCCTCGTTCACACAATAAATCAACAATACAAATTCAACTACAGATTATATAAGCATTTAGTTCAAATGCGATTTAAAATGCTCACAGGTTTTATAACTCTTATGAAATGTACACTACATTTATTATGTAGTATTATTTTAAACACGAGTTTATGTCCGAGCCAACAGACTCACAGATTGTTGGCTACTGAGAGATATGCAAAATACACCGCATGTAGTACGACACAAACCTCCGCTGTGGATTTTCAAAACAAAATACAGTAAAACTATGGTTGCAGGCCTAAGTTTAACTCTCTGAGGTCTAAGCAATTTTTTTCACATGTTAGGCTCGCCTTGGCATTTTTCTTGTAAAAATGCTATTAAAACATGAACCTTGCTGACCATCGGGTTGGCTTGCATGGTTTGCCTACAAAATCTAAATTAAAAAGCGTTTATGCAGCCCCAACAACAGTCTCTGATCATCAACAGACTTCATGCAATGCTTCATTGAATGTATTTATTAGATAATAATCTCTCTCTCACTCCTAAAACATCTAAATCTACTTTCAGCATGGATAAATGTTCATGGAATACATCCATTGTTTGTTCTATATGCTTCTTGAAATCCTAAAAAACACATATTTTTTCTAGATCAGATTACAAATGTTGGGTTCAGAATTCCAGAAAAGACAGACAACTTCTAAGTTTAACTATTTATTGTAAAGAGAGCAAAAGATATATATCATTTGGCCAAGGACTCATCACATCTTTGGGAATCACAGGCAGCAAAGCTGTAATCTGTAACCACCAAATCCGTCAAGAGCCTCGAACCTCGTGCGACAATACATGTTATTACACAGGGCGTTGCCCGTACATTTGTGATTGGTCAAGACTAGCTGAAGAGATACCATGGTTTAGACTTGGTTCTCTTTGGTTGGTGCGCAGACTCCAATCTTGGCAACACGATCCTCCAATCAGCATTCGGCCGGCCTGTGGAAGTCCCTCCCTACTCTGGCACCATCATACTAATTAGTTATCTCTAACGTTTCTTCAGATATAGTGGGAAACCATAATGTTGCTTCCTAGCTTTGCGAGGGAGCGCGGCTCCCATACAAAGTGAAAGCCGGTGCGATGTGCTGTTCTGACCTCTTTGTGTTCTCTCAGTCTTTGCACTCCACCTTGCTACTTTCAATATTGCAAGCTAAACTTTCTTCTGACTATTCCCCTCGTTGGTATCTAACCCATCAGAACCTGGGATTAGTGATTGTGTCTATTTATTCTATAGTCATAGCAATCTCATGAGCACAATAAGCATATAATGTAATAATAAGAATCAGTCTTGTAATGTTATATAAAAATAGACTCCACACAAATCGCCAGAAAATGTTACAAACAAGTGGCAACATGTGTGACGAAGGTGTTGCGCTGGGCTATATCACACAATCAAAAGTGAAACTTAAGCTCACTCCATTGCGGAGATATTCCCGCAAATATCGCGATTTACCCGGGACTTCAGGTGGCAGTATACGCTGTGAAGTTGTTTGCGGCCTGCCAGTAAACCCAAAGCAGAAGAAGAAGAAGTGACGTCAGCGGCTTAATTTGCTTAATCCTCCCTCAGGGACTTATTCCGGTGTGAAAACGATCTTCTAGAATAGTTCAGGAATTAAAGAGTTCCGGGGAATTAAGTCCCGGGAACTATTCCTGGGAAAAGTACTTGGTGTGAAAGCGCCTATTGTGTTCTTTTCAACCAAATATCTCGCAGAGGGGCGTTTGGAGTGGCACCTTATTTTCATCTAAAGTAACAGACACAGAATCAACACTTTTGAAACGGGGCTGAAACAGAGGGGATTATGGGATGCTACAATGATCTGTTTGGTATTTCGAGGCAAACACTTCAGAGACATGTTCTCTGTATTTCTGAGACCTGTAATATATTGATGAAAAACAATATAATAGGGGACCTTTAAGACATTTTCTGAACCTATATATTAAAACCTCAATAACACCAAACCCACAATTTTAAATGTTAATCACTTCTTTACAGGCGTGCGTTTAAGAGGCAGTGCACAGAGGATGGCAGCTGGCTAGAGGGGGCATGCGAGCCGGTGACTTGTGATCCCCCACCTCCCATCTTCCACGGCTCCTATCACTGTACTGATGGTTTCCGCTTTGACAGCGTTTGCAAACTCAACTGCTCTGATCCAGCCGGTAATGCTGCTATCGCCGCCACAGGAGGCTCTGCCCATACGGTGAGGCTGCTGCACGCTCCATGCAAGCAGGTCTGTCCATCCCTTTCCTCTCGTTCTATTCTTGCTTTACCTATTTGTATGTCTTCTTTTTGTCATGTGTATACAAAGTAGACATTCTCTCTTTTTCCTCCCGTCTTTGCATCCTTACAGTGGATTATTATCAGTGGCATAATGGTTTAGAAATATATAATCGTAATACAATTTCTAATACCAAAAATGCATAATACAGTCATGGTAGCTGATAATAAGATGCAGAATTATTGAGAAGATATTTTCTTCTCAAATGCACTCACTCTCATGACTGATACTTCTTACACTGCCCTCAATGACTAAACGCTCATCTCTGCCTGCCTGATTTCTGCCTGTCTCCCTTAACCCTACTCAATTTGACGCCATGCTAATTAGATTGCTATTGATTTGCAGAATAGTCTTGATGCCACAGACATTTTGAAATGTATACACCTTTTAATCTGTTCTGCCTCTAAGGCGTTGTGGGTTGGATGCATGATAAACATTGGATTACATTTCCCCCTTTGCAACGGGATGCCATCTCAATGTCCTTGGGCTGCTTGTATTTGCGTGTCATTGTGAGTGTATAATTGTTTGCCTGTCAATAAATGTGTTGTTTTCAGGGCGCTGCGTTCAATGTGATCCGCTGTAGGAAGGATGGAAACTGGACAGGGTCATTCCGCCTATGCCCACACAGCAAAGGCCAGTGTACTTTACCTCAAAACCTCCATCACAGCCTACAGTACTCCTGCAAGCGAGGACACGGCATAGGTCAGTATGCACACATGTACTGTTGTATCATAAGAATTCAGTCTTTTGTACTGCTGATGTCATCTTTCATTGTTGTTTTATTAATTTACAAATGAGAGTCAACAACATTTTAAACCATTGTAATGTGACCAAGCACTTTGAATATCACACAATATCATAAACATTGGAAACATATTATTTAGTATATCTTTGATCTTGTGGTGTTTTGTTAATACTTTTATTGTTTTTTGAGTGTCTGTCTAACTCTTGCTCACACACACACAGGTGAGGAGTGTGAGCTGACGTGCAGAGAGAGTAGCGCCGATGTGGTGATCCTCCCTAGCAACATGACGGTAGAGAGTGTACTTAAAGAGCACTGGAGGAACCCGCACAAAGTCAAGGTAAGTTTGTACGATAGTTTGTGTCCACCTCACAGCTCTAGACGCACTTCACAAACCTCTGCGATCCACAACTCTCATGTAAGGAATTTCATGTATAGTGTCTACATCCTGGGTCTATTAACCACAATACAAAATGCCAGCATGGCAACCCTGCAAACATTTGTGATATATTTGTAATCTTTTCTGTGGAAACAGGCTGTCGCACTCAATGTGAAATTTCAACTACCTCCTTCATTCCCAAAGATGCTTTGCAGATTTTTTAGGTATTGTGAGTACATTCAAGTTTTCACAATACATAACTGACTCTAACACCACCACTGTGAAGAATTTGCAAAACCGTTTCCAGTGCCTGTCATCTTAAATAATTCCAATTTTCAGTAATGAACCTACGGCGCTCACTGGTTAATGACCTTGATTTAGATATACCTTACAGCTACAGACTGTTACTGATTATTACTATTTGCTTAAACTGACATGTAGCAAAAATACAGGAGTTAGGGGTTATTTTGGGCAAAGGTCATTAAACACAGAACAGTACACCTTGTCCCTGTGGGAGTGCCATTGAGAGCCACCCCATCCCCTATGGTGTCATTTAGGAGGAGTATACACTACACCTATTCTTCTAATTTCACGCTCCCCTTTTACTTTGATTAATGTTAATGATGTGCAATTTATTTTAAGTGTTTTTGTCAACTTAATACCCTTTTAGCTGTTGAGTCAGAGAAAGATCTTAGCATCAAGATTTGCAACCAGAGAAGTAAAGAAACACGTTGTATTTTGCACTGCATTTTTCTCCCTACAACTCCTTTTGTTTTTGTTTCAGTCACACCGAGTCAGCAGCTTTTGTGTGGTTGATGACGGGAGAGAGGGGTGGCTTGGCCCACGTGGACATGAAATGATCTGTTTTTCATGGATTTGTGTAATTGATATGATTTGTGCTCAGTGGTAATTTGAGACCTGAAGCTAGGCTGTTGGGGGCAGTGAATAGCACATGATAAGTCAAGTAGTGTGGGTGGTGGGGTGAGACATCCACCAGTGTTAAGAGGTCAGAAGAGGAAGAATTGTTGATGATATTGTGTGCTTAACCATGTGCACACCAACACACGCACAGCTTTCTCCCAATAGTCAGTGAAATGATTAGCAGAGAGAAATGTGCCTTCATTTGTAATACATTACATTTAGAAGCAAAATATCCAAGGGTTAAGTCCAACAGACGCATATGTCTAAGATATAAGATACAAGGAATGCACAGGGCTGACCTGAAAGGGTATTAAGAGACAATAACAGGAGGTTGCTATGGTGGAAAAAGATATCAATCATGACATGTGCTTACAGTTGTAGTAATAAGTTGGAGTAGACATCATAACATACTTCTAAACTCCCCTCTATGTTGAGATTCTTTATACAGTGTCTAAAAGAGGATTAATGTCCCCAAGAACACTTTCTAGTTCTACTTTGCTGAGTTGGAGGTGAGCATTGCCCACCTTAATAAGTGATGTTGATTAATTGCCTTTAAACTAGTTGTATTTTGGTTCTTAGTGTGACCCACTTAGAATTCTCCCTTGTTTCCCTACCTCCACTTCCTCATCTTCTTTCTTTCCTATCCCTCTATCTCTAACAATCCCCCCCCCCCGCACCCTCCTCCCCCTTTATCAGCAAAATTACCCTGTCGGGCTTGCTGCAGAATTATTCATTTTCTACATGACATGACCTCGTCTGTGGTGGCGCTGAGATAGGGATCTATTTTTATGTGGTATCAGCGCCCGAGGAGGCTTCAGAGGTTGAGGATCCTATACGTAGTTAGGGGTGAGGCCAGGCCACGATCATGGATTATCATGATTTACGGCCTTGCTGAGGGAGGAAAAAAAGAGTGAGAGAGAGGGGAAGAAAAGGGGTTTCTGGATTACATCATACACTGCACTGGAGAAAAAAGAATAAAAGTACAGTAGTTGCAAAAAGTTTCACCTATAAAACAAAATAATGTGCTTAATCTTCCATCGTATAGGGACTAGCCATCAACGCCCTCCATACAGAGAAAACGTGCATGCACACCAAAGATCTTCCTATGCAGTACTATGTCGCAGTAGTAAAACGACTACACTCCAGTTGCCCTCAGATGTTATGTTGTTCTTTCTCTCCATCATCAACCCCCCATATTTTATTTTTTGCATTGATTTGCTGACTGCACTGAAATGAAAAATACCTTAGTTTGCAGCAACAAAAGAAAAGCTAGTCAATTTTGGCAGATATTGGGACACAGGGGGTTTTACGAAAATGAACCATCTAAGGTCAGTCAGTCCATTGTGGTGGATGACAGTTCTGATCATGCACACTACTATCCAAGTCTGGGGTCATACTTGTGCTGTTCACAAAAGAGTAAACTCATTTTTTTTGTTCATAACTGTAACGCCTAACAAAACACTATATGAAAACAACATCACAACAGTGCACATGTATGTATTTTCATGTACCTACAGTTAATAGGCGCGTTCACACCAAGTACTTTTCCCACAAAGGTTCCTGAGAACTACGATTTAGTTGCGCTCACACCAAAAAGTCCCAGGAACTAAATTAGTTCTAGAGAACCTTTTTACCCCCTTTTCAGTCCCTGCTAGAGAGCAGAGACTTGGAAAAAAAGATTCCTGTGTCTGATTGGCTGGGCGGAATGCAAACGACGCCCCGTCAAACTCCCCAAAACGTTTGTGAAGCCGCCATTTTATTATCCTCGCATTGCATTATTAGCATTAGCATTAGCCCCGCGCAGAAACGCAGAGAGACTAATTTATGACAACACAAAATAAAACAGGGGGGCGGTGGAGATGAGGAGGTGTCGGCGTTCTGGCCGTTTACTCGGAAGACTTCAGTAGAAGCTGCTGGGAGTCCCAGCAGCTTCTCCTGAAGCCAGTCCCTAACTCCGAGGACTTCCGGCCGGGGATTTTGGGCGGCACTGCAGCGCCGTGAAGTTGTTTGCGGCCTGCCAGTAAACCCAAAGCAGAAGAAGAAAAAGTGACGTCAGCGGCTTCATTTGCCTAATCCACCCCCAGGAACTAATTTCCGTTGTGAACGCGATCTGTACATAGTTCATGAGAACTAAAGAGTTCTCAGGAACCTTTGTGGGAAAAGTACTTGGTGTGAACGCGCCTAATACATGCATTTGCACATGCCGGGACACATGATATGCACAGTGCGGCCCAAATAAACCCCCAACTTCTATTTTATCTTTCAGAATATAGTCTGTACCATGGGACTCAAATGGTATCCACACCCAGAATTGCTCCACTGCATCAAAGGATGTGAGGTAAGGGCTCAAACTGAATTAGATTGTTGTTTCTGTCTTTGTTTGTGTGGAGTAATAGTCTCATCTATCATATTAGACATAAAGACTATTTCTTTCATCATCCTTGATCTCAAATCTTAACGAGTGATTAGATTTTTTCTGATATGATATGTTGCCATATTTCAGTTTAGACGCTTATAGTGGCCCAAATAACAGTTTGCTCTGCTTTTATGATAAATATACATATTTGTTAATGCTTATGAAAAAAAACATTGACATGCTTGTCTGTTCAGATTTTTGTTGTTGAAATAGCAACCTCATGGACAAGGAACAAGTGACAACAAGAGGTTACAAAAGTTTGCTTTTATACAAATAAATCTTCATTTTAGTACCCCTTCAAAGTTAGTTTAATTTAACTGTATTCGCTGTGCTTGGCAAGTGGAATTTGACTATTTAATGGAATAATATATTGGCTAGTCATGTAATTTACTGTCTTGTCAGAATACTTGTGTTTATAGGTCATTTTCCAGGTAGGGCTAGATCAGTTAATGTTTTGCTTTCAACAGGCTAACTGCTGTTGGGATTAATCAAGAATGTATTAGTGTTTTACCACACTGCCAGTAGCTATTCACATTTTTAATTTCTGAAGCCAGTTGCTGAGGACAACCTCCTGCACAGAGCGCACAGGTGTTTTTTAGCATCTTTCCACTTAGGCATTTATAAGCCAGTTATATATGCTTTTGCCACAAGGGTATCCGGTATCAGAATAACTGATGCGGCTCATTGCCACTCATTAGCTTGCTGTAATCTGATGTTATGACTTATTAATACTGATTTATTACTTCTTACCCCTTAATAACGTGCTAAATGTTTCTTTCCTCTAAAAATGGACGATCCATGTCTATAAAATACAACATGTGAAAGAATTCTACTTCACGTCGTGCAAGAATGATATCATCTACTCAAGTTTGTTTAGGCCAATTGTATAACCTGATTGGTAACCCAAGTGGAGAGGGTGGGGCCAACCCAATAAATCACCTTATTGGAGTGTTTTGTGAAGTGAACAGTTTATGGTATTATTACTCAGTTTGATTTACGGTTCTGGCCCACTAAGGGCTTAAAAAGTCACATTGAAAGATGAGGGAAATTTAGTGCGTGAGATTCATCAGCAAATTTATCCAGAGACCTCGAAAAGGCCCTGAAATGCTCAAGACCACAAGAACAATGGCCGTATTTGGTTATTCACCTTTTCACCATTATGAACCAGTTTAAAGGTGGCACTTAGATTGGATAGTGTTTTTCACTAAATAGCCACTCTTTCTGATCCCTCTGGTATAGCCATTCATGGGAGACAACTACTGTGATGCGGTCAACAACAGAGCCTTCTGTAACTATGATGGAGGAGACTGCTGCCAATCCACAGTCAAGACCAAGAAGGTTAGTGGCATGCTCATAATATACCTCACCCATCACACAAAGAGATGTTGTTGGACACTGAGTCAGTGTTTCTTCCCCAACTGGAGACACACAAAGCTTAGGCTAAAATCCCAACTCCTGCATGGGATCATCTCCGCCTTTCGCTGTGCCGATCACTCTCAGTCTTCATTTTCTTGCTTCCATGCATCCAGTGGAAATTGCCATTATCAAGCTTTGACATTAATATGATAATGACCTCTGACACAAGGTAAGGATAACAAAGACCACAAATGAAAATACTGGTGAAGCCTGCAGTATTTCACCTCATGGAACATCGCTAAACAAATTCTTCCTTTCTTGCTGTGTCCAACCTTACATTGCTGTTAGATAGATTACTGACACTATATCCAAGTCTGTGGGCGTTTTCAGTCTTCATCAATAGTCTTTGTTTTCTGTCAAATTATGTTTCCTGATGTGAATGATGTTTGTATTTGTCTTTGTTTCCCTGGGAAGATTCATTACACTACCTAACATGTTGGTGATGTTGTTGAACATATTCAGCTGAGCATACAGAACACATTCAGCTGAGCATACACAAGTGTGGTCATCCTTATGGTAGTAACACTTATTTCAGGGAGGTGCAGTGGCTCTTTCCAGCTGTCTGCTGGCAGAGGAGTACATTGTAAGTGTATTGTAGCTTCTGTGCAGCAGCATCTGCTTCTCTGGCCTGGCCTGTTTCTGTGAATCTGGCGAGGGACTTTAGTCATACTCCTGGCATATCCATCTGTAAGTCTGGCTGGATTTATATTGCAGTCTATGTGTCTCACTGGCTGTGTCAGTGTGTCTGACTGAAGAGCCTCTTCATTTCCTCTCTGGGAAAAAAGGACATACAATGCAGGACTGTATGGATGATTTTAGAAATACACAAATTCAAAAACTTCTGATAAAAGAAATGGATTTCTCTGAATTAAATATGTGCAATTCTTATGACATTTGAAGAGAACACATTTTGTCTCCAGTGCTCCTTCGCTCAGGCTTTAAAAAGAAGGTGTGTCCAATTGTCCAGTGTAGTAATCCAATGTTGCAATCATTTTCAGCCACTGCCTCACATGACATAAAAAATGAGACCATTCGAAAAAAGAAAATGCTGAATTTGCACCCACCAATATTCTTATAAAAATTGGAAAATAAACACTAACGTCCAATAAAATAAGTTGTGTCATACTTCCAGTGTTCAGTGTAATCATACAATGTTGCTTTTCGGTGTCAGATGACCGAAAATATTGAGAAAAATGTGTTTTCAATAAAAAGAAAACAGGCTTTTGAAATGTTTTACAATATGTACTTACTTTTTTTCAATATTAAACCATACCATATATAATATATATTATATCATAAAGAGTCTTTGATGTTTTATCAATCAAAAAAGATTACATCATGTTATGACTTCTCCTGACTGTTCTTTCCCAGGATTGTAGGTTAACCCAGAAGTGTAAAGCCTTCCAATTTTGATCTTTCAATACTAACTTATGTGAAATGGCCTCTAAGCTATTGGAAAGCTTTCAATGTGCACAGTTTCAACTAGAGGCCACGTTATTCTTGGCCAGTCGATATACAAAATATGTACTACACAACAAAATTATACAATATGACTCAGACATCTACCATGTGTCCGATAATTTGAACGTTAATTTGTGTTACGAGTGAGGTAGTGACGAGCCAGGTATGTACAGAAGTTAGATCACTTAAAATGCCAAACAACTACTCCTCATGTATTTGATTGCACTGCACTTCTATGATCATAATAACCCACCTTGAGCCAGAAAAAAGGTGCAGATGATTTGTTTTTCTCCTATTCATAACTTCAGTATCAGATGTTGGATATTGTATCCTAAATTCAAAAGCAGCAGGAAAGTCGCTGAGTAGACCGCTGGGAAGTGACCTCACTCCTGAAGTGGTTTCGCTGCTGTTGATTGACGCTATCTCATCTCCACATCTTCTGGCCCCAATCCAGTGTGGGGGCTCAGGCAGAACTTGCATAACTCACTTTTACTGACAGACCCCGATGGGAGGTTAGCCTCCATTAAATTACTGCAGCAACATGATGTTGAGCTGTGTGAAAGGTGAGCAGGCCATTGGTCTTGTTAGAGTAAAGATTTGTTATGTTGTACATCAAAGACATTGAAATGTTTGGTCCACTTCCCAATATGGGCGTAGAGATAACTTTGAATATCAGTGGAGACATTGGTCTAAGATAAGCTAATTATGCTAAAAAAGGGTTTGCTAGTTTTTTTTTCTACAAAACAAATATCTGTTTTTTTATGATCGTTTTTTGACGTGCACCTTATTTTCTAGAATGCGTGACCAAACACACATTTAGCAGGAAAAAGTGAATTTCTAATGTCAATTTGCAGGCTCAGGCTGCCAGCTGCTCTCAATCAAACATGGGAACACCACCTCAGCGGCTGAGAGGAAAAGGGATATTTCTCTTCTGTTTTTCTTCCTTTTAATTATAAAAAAACAGTTGAGAATAAATTGAAAAACATGTTGACATTATTTTACTGCATTAAAGGATGACTGAATGTGATTTCAGTTGGACTTTAATCCTTGCAGAAGAATCTGGACCAGGTTACTGCTGCTGTATTTCGAAGCCAAGGATGCTACATGCCAATGGTCAATAGTAGTGTCTGCAACACAGGTGTTAGCAGTTTGCTAAAATAATAACTACAGGCAAATGGAGGATCAAATTACCTAGTTGGTACTAACTTCTGTCACAGCGGCAAAGACAGATTGGGTGAAGAGAAGTTAAATTCCAACTAATGAAATATTCAGAGGGCTGTTAAAGTAAGGATCATACTGTAGCTGTGCTTAGGAACTTCAGGCTGCTTGTCCAAATTCTGCTTGAAAGTATTTTGCCCTGGCATTATTTAAAGAAAGCAGTCTGGCTGGTGTTTTCCACAAATAAGTCCCCTGGAAACTATTTTGGAAAGTTTCGAAAAATTGCTCTGAAAGAACCAATCATAATTTGATTCATCAGCTGCCAGAAGCAAAGGGTGAGGAACGTAAGTGGATGAGAACCGAAGAGGAAACACTTTGGAATTAGGCTGATATGTGAAATCGATATGGGAACAGAGGAAAGTCAGATGTTTGATATAATCCCTTTTGTGCCTGTTAGTTTTTTGAGCCTATTGCCTTATTGTTGCTTAATGCCTCGGTTAAATACAGTTTTTATTGTTTTATTATCAACATCTAAATAAAATCTGTATTTATGAGCATTTTAGTACTTGGTATTTGGCATTCAATTATACATTTAGTTGTTTAATGTTTAAGTCAATCCTCATATCATCCCGTTTTGATCACTTCAGTCAAAACAGAAACAGGTTAATTTGCACCTGATTCTGATTTTGCTAAACTAAACACATGTGTGGAAGAGGGCCAAGGACAGATTAAAAACTTCTAAAAACAAAAAAAATGACACCATAAATGACCAAAACAATCTGTAACTTATATATGAGTCTCTCTCCTCTGAGCTGCTGAATGACACACTTCAAAAGCGGGAAATCAATGTTTGTCCCTCAACCACAAGGACTTAAGTTGTCTGTGTTAAGTTGTTCCTTGACACGAAAACTGTTGAGTGTGTCACAGTGGAGGTCATTTGATGTCAATGTCTATTTTCAATGCAGATTATTATTGTAAATTATTATAACCTATTATATACGTTTTTTCTTAAAGTTCTATTTTCCAGCTAAACATCAAACATGTATGCAAATGGAAGTCAATAAAGAAAGTTGTTTGTGTATTACAATATTTTAATTGTTATAGTTTAACAAGAGACCTTTGGAATATTTTATTCTGGGCGTTACCACAGTCACATAACTTACTTCACTGCCACTAAACAAAAGGCAGACTCATTTGGCCTGACGATATTTTGTTGTCCCATTTATCCACTTGTTATTAACCTTCTTTATTAAGACACAAACATTTGAAAACTCAAAATATCTTAAGATTGTTAGAATGTGAACCACAGTCTCTTATTATACTAAATGAGACTACTCAAATTCATTAAACAAAACACTAGTCCATCTAACAAAAAATTGCATTCAAAAAACACATTGAGTTATTCCTTATTCCGGCCGCACTCTATTGTATTGGACTACAATAGTTTTAAATGGTTGTCCCTTATAACACAACATTAAACAACAAAAGACCCATGTAAACCTCTCTCTTTGTTCCCCCCTTATCCTGTCATTCACACACACATTCTCATTCAGTCTTTCTCCTACCCATTCACTATTAATCTCATTCACATTATCTCAGCTATGCTCACTCACTCCAGTCCCTCTCACACTCTCACAAAACACACACAAACATGCAGCACATGAACAGACACAGAAGCCACTGGTGTTGTTAACGAGAGGTCTGGTGACTCAGTGGGAGTCTTGCTCAGTGTTATTGTCCCCAGTGTGTTGTGACACACCATGTGAGAAGAATACTACGACATAACTCATGCGCACACACAGACACACCTCATTTGTCCTCTGACAACACATTTTGCATCTATTGTTTGCCGATCGTCGTCATGGATTGCACTTTTTATTGTCAACATGTTGAAATCCTTAGCTGTCTCTCTTCTAATTGTGTGACTCGTAACCCTTTGTTCATACATCTATTATGTATGTTGTCTTCTGATGGAAGGTATAACAGACGCTGATGAAAACATCTGCTAGCCCCTCCATAGTAAAGGATGCTTCAGTTACTTTTTTACAGCAGTTGCATGATTGTTCATTATTATATTTCCTAACAACAAACTCCCTGCTTTTCAAATCTTAAATGATTCAAAGGTCCAATATTAAAAATCATAACTCCTGGAATGTATTACATTTCTTCCAGATCCATCAATTAGGCAATTTCTACTCTTTCAAAACAACCCGTAATAGGAGACATTTTGTAATTATCAGTGTATTGTAATGTTCCTGGTTCCTCCTGTTTCTCCTCTTCTGTTTGTTCTCTTCAATTTAGAG